ATTTTTGATTAGATTTGATTTGAATGAAATTAAGGATAAATTTTTTACACTTACATTTAAGCAAAAAGTCAAGGTGATTCAGAAATTTCTGCCATTTCAGGCATAGTTTAGAGAAATGAGTAATGGATGAAGGCATATTAAACAATGCAGAAAATCAAACTAAATTAACCCAATAATAAAGCACGCACAACACAAGGGAAAAATTTCACATTGAAAATGAATACAAAACAAAATATTTGCTACTAAAAAGCATGAAATCAGATAAACAAAGCACAATATTAAAATATGTACAACGCAAATCAAACTTAAAAAATTGGAAAGAGTACTTACCGAAAGTCATAAAATAGCAAAATGGCGGTCACACCACATGCAAAAAAGGAAAGAAAAAAAAAAAAAAAAAAAAGCATGTTTGTGGCTGCGAAACTCATATAATCGCAAAATGGCGAAAACCATGTGGAAAAAAGAAAGCAAAAAATAAGCCTGTTTGGGGCTCCTATAATTATGATACCATTACACACCGAATAAGTACTAATTTAGAAGTCAAACAACAAAAATTAGCGTTATATTTTTAAATATTCACAAGACTTAGTTTTGATGGTTTTACAGAACCATCATCCTCAGCTGCAAAAGCGCAAATGAACGAGATAAGATATAGTCATTAGATGAGAAAAGATAAGATAAGGACAAGCATCAAGCTACTGGCGCCATCTGTTGATGAAACCAGACCTAAAACATAATTTCTTTAAAGGCTGAAGGCAAAGATGGATTGGAATTAATTCTCTTGTCTCGTTGAACGAAGTTCATAAAATCGGGTGCCTGGGTCAGATCATTATCCCAATATAGCAGTTTATTCTATTTTTCGATTCTTGTGCATAGCATGGGGATGGCATAGAACATGAATTTTGGAGTTGAATAGCAATTATTTGTTGATCGTGAGATTTAGCAAGGGTGACAAGGCATATCTTGTGAGGAGGTTAAAGAAGGTATTTAATTCTCTTCCGTTTGTCGAAATTTTGGTTACACGTAACACATCCAACTTCAGTACTAAGCTTTACCGTAAACCTTCATCGGTCTGCCTTCCACAACACTTCAAATCATGTCATCCGACTAAACAAAAGTTAGCTTCATTTTATTCCTGCGTTTTCCGTGCTCTTCAAATATGCTCCTCCAAACTATCTCTTGATGAAGAACTAAATTATTTAAAAGCGGTAGCTTTTGACAGAGGCTTTTCATCCAACATTATTAATCAAGCAGTTAAAAAATTCTCATCTCAACACACCAAAAGGGACTTTCTTGTTTTAGAAGATTATAAAAATTCTGCTGTCATTCTCTTCTTTCCATCAATTAGCTATGAAGTTGCACATATTTTACAGAAATTTAACTTTCGGGTCGTTTATTCTCCCATCAATAAAATTCCGAGTTCCATACTCAAGGACCCCATTCCGGATTTGAATTGCTGGGCTATTTGCAGGTTTCCTTGCCAGTGTGGTTTAATTTGCATTGGTCAAAATAAGAGAGCTTAAAATTTTGCATTAAGGAACATGAGGCATATGTTAGAAAAAAGGAAATGCAGAAGTCTTCTGTTGCCCAGCACTGTTGGTAAGAAAAATCACATTTTCAATTTTTCCGCAGCCAAAATTATTCTAAAAACATCTTCCTTTGGTGAACTGGATTTTCTAGAGGCATTTCACACTCAAAAAAATCTTTCTGTTACAGTTAACAACCCTAATTCCAATCAATCTTTGCCTTCAGCCTTTAAAGAAATTATGTTTTAGTTCTAGTTTTATCAACAGATGGAGCCAGTAGCTTAACGCTTGTCCGTTCTTTCTTATCTTTTCGCATCTAATTACTATATCTTATCTCGTTCATTTGCGCAATGGTTCAGTAAAACCATTGAAACTAGGCCTGTAAAAATTTAATAATATAACACTGATTTTTGTTATTTGACTTCTAAATAAGTACTTGTTCGGCGTGTAATGGTTTCACAAAAAGAAACAGTCTTTCATAGCCGATTCAGTATTTTTCATTCAATTAGTTCTCGCTTTGTGACAAGGCAAAAATACATAAAACTCAAAATATCTATATTAAAAATTACAAAGTAAATCTTAAACACTTATTTCCTTGAACAAATTCCTAAAGTGGATTAAGCATGATTTAATTTGCAATAATAAAAGAAGGTGTTATTATTGTTGCTGTGAAGCTTAGTTTCTCTAGATTGGCAACGAATCCACTATTCTGCCAAAGTTTCAAATCTAAACAAACATAGCCGCCATGGTAGGCTGAGCAGCATTTAAGTAACTTTTAAATTGTTGATAATTCTACAAATGTTGTATGTAGATTTATTAAAGGCATAATAACCTTAACTGGAAGATACGAACAACATAATTCAATCATTTTTAAAGCAAAAAATTTACAAACATTTAAGAATAAAGAAACAGACATCACTGAGCCGAGTAACAGATTGGATATATATTTATATACTTTTGGTGTGGCTGACTGCAACCAAAATAGGAGGTGCACAACTAAATGTTTAGCAGTCCTATATACAAAGTTTTAACATTCTGGGACAACTCAATTTTGAGTTATGCGAGATACATACATACGCACATACACACAGACGTCACAAAAAATTCTCTTCAGAATTCATTTTAAATCAGTTTTATATTTTTTTGGAGGGAAAAAGTCCTTTACTCTGTCCTTACGTACAGATGCCATGCAAAAACATTGTTAAATTGCATTCGATTGTGGTCAAAATGGACATTTTTGTAGAAATATGATACCAGACATTTTTTGCGATTACAATACTTCCTTTTTCTTTTGTACAAGAAGTAAAGCAATTAGACTTAGCCGCACTTAAACAACTTTTAAACTGTTGATAATTATACTACTATAACATGCAGGCTAACTAAAGCTGGAAGATAAGAAAACATAATTCCATCATTTTTAAAGCATTGGTGTGGCTGATTGCAAACAAAAAGGGAGGTGCACATCTACATATTTAAGCAGTGCCACATACAAAATTTCAAGCTTCTGAGACTATTCACTTTTGAGTTACGCGAGTTACATGTATACATATGAACGTAGGTACAGATGCCACAAAAAATATCTTCTGAATCCATTTTAAATCAGTTTTATAATTCATTTGGGGAAAGAGTCCTTTATTCTGCCCTTACAAACAGATGTCACGCAAAACATTGTTAAAATTGCATTAGTCAAAATGGTGTTATCATTATTTATTGCATTAGTCAAAATCATTAGTGTAGTCAAAATGGATATTTTCGTTGAAATATGACACCCAAAACTCTTTCGCGATTACAATACTTCCTTTTTACTTCGTGCAAGGGAGTAAAAATGACTTAAATTTGGAGGGTAGTGTGCATGCATATTTTGCATATTTGGGTTGCCATATAAATACCTTTTGGTAATATAGTACTTTGCCTCGCGATACTTTTCAGAAGCGGATGTGAAGATAATAAGAAATAACTACCAAAAATATAAAGTTGTAGCAAAAATCTCAACAAGCCTTAGAATCTTCCTAAGAAAACAGACTGTCATGAAATTACATAGTTCACTTGAACTTCAGAAAAGTTGTGCAGTTGTTGCCATCTGTATAAGTTAAACATAAATTAAAGGAATTGAAAATGAACATTTACAGTTGTAACATTATTACAGTATGTTTTAATTTCAAAGTTAATTCACTTAATGGCAGATAACTGAATAATTAAGTTAAAAGGTTAATGTGCATTGAAAAGCAAATGACTTTAAAAATTCAGTAATTAAGATGAAAAGTACTAGATTGATTTTGTTTTAATTTTTTCCAAATTAAAATAATATCAGACTTCTAAAATTAAAAATTTGATTAAAGCAGTTAATTATAAGAATGAGCTAATTATAAGCATAATTAACAACAATCATGTATATGCACTATAAAGTAAACAAATTATTCTTGATTAACATATAATCTGTTTTAAATTTAAAAAAAAATTGAATTTGCTGCACAGATCATGCAATTAAAAGCTCTCGTACATCTGGCTTGCACTAACTCTGTATAAATTATTTCTTTATACAAAACTTTTCCTAATATTAAAATAAATAGCTTTAGTAGTTTAATTTATATAGCAATTTTAAACTAAAATGAATAGTTAAATGCCAAAACTACATAAAACACATCAGTTCCAATAAACATTAAAGAATACTTACATATTAGTAAAATCACCTGGAACAGATTGGCAAATTTTTACACAAAAACAAAATTAAGACTTGCAATTAAAAAAAATATTACATAAATATTTTACATTTGACTAAGGTATCCATCCTCAAAATCAGTAAACAAACTTATTTATGAGCAAGATTATTTGGATGCAATTTCATAATAGTCCCTTTCAAAAAAGTTTCAAAAGAAGAAGTTTTTTTTTCAGTGAATTTATGGCAATAAAAAATAAATAAATAAATAAAATAGAAACTGGAATATGATGAAAATGCATTAAGGCAAGAACATTACTTGTTGCAACTAAAAAACTGTAATGAATGCTTGGCTGAGTTAAGTATATTCTAAAAGTTCGGCAACTTTTATTAAGGTGGCTACTTTAATATGTAAGCATCTATTAAAGTATACTTCTACATCTAAAACTGAATACAGTACAAAGTCTGTAATCCGGACTCGTCGGGACTTCGTCGGGACTTCGGCAATTCCGGATTAAGGGTTTTTCCCGATTATAGATCATCAATTTAAATCTGGTAAGATGGCATGCACAAATTATACAATTAAAAATATGAAACCATAACTAAAGAGCAATTATGATCTAAAGGGTATCAAAATTTACAGAAAACACATCAAACGCGCATGCGTAAGTTTGTGGCTTTGAGGTCCGGATTATAGATCATTTCGGATAATGGACGTCCGAATTACAGACTTTATACTGTACTTTATATACAATGTCTTTCAGAACTTTATATGAAAACAGATTGTACTTATTTTATGCACATTTCTTTATGCTTACCAGTTCGACAATATGGATATGCATTCCATGCTTCTTCATGTACTTCCAAAGAACCTTTTGGTGCTAATAATCTGATGTAGGCAGGAACACGACTGCAAAAGTAAAATAGTACTTAAGTACTTTTTCTTAATGGAAGAACACTTAAATGAGCCAGAGGTATATTTTACTTCATTCCTTGTGTACTATACAATTTCAAGACTTTGTACAGTACAATGATACATTTTGCAAACCAATATACATCATGAAAATAAATACAAGTGTCTGAAATTATGCATTTCTCTTCTTGAATTAACTTTTAGATAAATCCATCTTTAGATTACTGACAAAGCTTACAACAGTTATAAACTTTTTTTTTTGGGGGGGAGGGGTAGCATCATGCACCATATCATCTCTCCTTTCTTTCCTAAACTCAAAAACTACAAATACATTTATTTAGATTTATATTATTTTTTTAATGTGTCTTAAAAATTAAATAACAAAAAGAATAGAAAAAGTTACCAAAACACCAATAAAAGTAGTTTTTTCATTCTGAAACTAAAACTAAATACTTATAATCTAAATAAAAGGGTGACCATATTCCCACCGATGTTATGACCCCCCCCCCCAAGAAAGAATCCGGTTGAGAGACCCTGCTCTAGTATCACACTGAAAATTTAAAATAGAAAGTGGAATTTTTAATATAAGAATATTTATTAACTTTGAGAATTAAAATCTCTGAATTAATGGCCTTTGAACGTAACGTAGAAAACTCAACAAGGAATGAAAAAGAGAATTCAAAACACATGACTAGAAATAATAAATAATAATACATTTACCTTGCTAAATGATATATTTTGTATGTATATTGACCACTTGAATATTTTCCACCTAGTAAAGGGAAATTTTCAAATGGCTCATTCTTTCTCACTTCAACACCTTCACCACCACCTGTTTCATTTTTACTAACTTGGGCTACAGAATAAAGTTGCCCAACTTGATACTGTAATTAAAATAAAAAATGCATTAGAATTTTCCTTTTTTAAATAATAAGAAGAAACAAGCCTGAATAATTATCTATTTTTATAAAAAAAAATTATTCACATAAAAAATATTTTAATAATGTCCCAATTAATGATAGCCTATCTACCAGGTTTAGCAAGTTTTTTCTACAGTGGAAAATACCACAAAAAAAAAAAAAAAAAAAACAGCAAAAACTAATTTTTGAATTTATATTATTACACCTATATTTCATTTGTATGTACTATTGTTATATTGATAACAAATATTTCCATTTCCAATATGATTAGCTTCATTTGTACACTTACAATAACTTTTGGTAATATATTAGTATGTATTTTATGTTCTTGTCACTTTCACATCGTTAAATTTACTGATTACAAGATTCTGAAACTAAATTTTACTCATATTAATAATATAAATAGCAAAATCACATTTTTTTAAACAACAAGAAAGAAACCTGAATTTAAAAAATGAAATTACAAAATTGAATCTGCACAGCTGTAATGCAGAGTAAAAATTCACTTTATGAGCACTTCACATAATAAGCGATTCCCAACATGAGAAAAAGCAAAATGTATGAAGAGTGAATTTAATAGTGTAATTCATGCAGACATTGTAATGTCATATGCAGGATCCTGCTTACATCTTAGCTATTAATCCACGTTTAGCATTTGCTCAGCTAGCATCTTACTGGTACTTGTAACAGTTGTATTCAAATACATGTGTATTTAAAAAAAATTTGTTTAGTACAAATTTCAGCATACTTACATGTTTGTCCCCGAAGAAAATATCATAAGAAAACAAATAAGAGAAGAAAAATCATTAATGTCATGTAGAGGTCCAACAACAAGGCTTAGGTGACATGTGACCCTTTAAAGACCGGATCAATTAAATATATATATACAGTCAAAAGTCGTTAATTCGGACACCCATAATTCGGAATGATCTATAATCCGGACATCAAAACTGAAAACTTTCTGCGCATGCGCCGCGTTGACACATGCGCAGAGGCGTTCACGCGTGCGCGTAAGACCTTTTACGACTGCGCATATGAGTGTGCGCAAGTGCAGAATACGTTTTCGCGTGCGCATTTTATGTATAATGGACGTATAAGCTAAATAATTATCTATTTCAGTTAATGTTGATGATTGCGTTGTTCCTTAATTTTCGAATTGCATCCGGCTTATTATTTTTTTGCAGAGTGTAAGAGCAATTTTATAAAAGTAAGCTTAAACTTTCGATTATATCAAATAGAATTTCCGATATATATTTGTTAATATGTAAAGGATCTAAAGCGAAAGTATGTTTTGAAATCCGAAATCTGTTTATCAATTTCACGCTGCTCGGCGGCGGGCGCGTAATGAATTGGAAGTTGATTTGTCAGCACTATTCTTATCTTCAGCGCAGATGTTTTTTATTTTATTTGGCTTATAATTCCTTACCAAATGTAGTATTTCATCTCGATATGCTTCGTCTTTGATATGATTTAAAACAAGTTCCTCGTCATTATAATTCGCTTCCGATAGCGAAGAAAAGTGACAGAGGTTATTGAAAACAAAAAATTTCGATTTACAAATTAGTCGGTATTCTTGACACACAGCAATTATAGGACTTGAACGGCGGAACTTTGTAACTGAACAAGAAATTTCTTTGTTTAATAGAATTAAAGAGAAAGTATTATCACATGAAACGAAGCAAAACTTTAAACAACTTACATTGAAAGAAATGTTTAATAAAGTAAACAAATAAATATTAAGCTTTTCCTTTTTGCAAATTTTGATACCCTTTAGATCATAATTGTTCTTTATTTCATAAATTACGGTTTCATATTTTTAATTTTATAATTTCTGCATGCCATCTTACGAGATTTAAACTGATGATCTATAATCCGGAAAAATCGATAATCCGGAATTGCCGAAGTCCCGACGAGTCCGGATTAACGACTTTTGACTGTATACATATAAAAAACTGCTTGAAATGAATTAGTCATTCTGTGTCATGTTTGTTCTGGACAATGCTCCTATACATCCTCTAGGCATAGAGGATGAAAAATTTTAATTCTTCAAGATTCAGTTCTAAAGCGCTCTTCAAACATCATTTTTAAGGTAACTGAAGAAACCAATGTCTTCTCAGAAAGCTCAAAAAGACCACTTTCCCATCACTGCCTGCCTCAAGATGAGATTGTTAGGCATGGGAGAGGTTATCAAGAGCACCCTCATTTCTACATGGAAGAAGCTTGTTGAACACAACTTCCAAAAGGTTTGAGCCTATGCAACCTGTAATCGACAAGACTGTGTACATGAGCCAAGAATATGGGGCTAGAAGTAGATAAGAATAAAATCAATGTATTCATAAAAGAGCATAGCCAGGAATTGACCAACGAAAAGCTTATGGAACTGCATTCTAGGTAACAGCAAGAAGTTGTGGAGGAGATTGTATCAAGAAAGGAGAGGGTAGCAGCCTCAGCAAAAGAAAAACATTCCAGTAAAATAAAGGAGATGCTGAAAGCTTGGGAATTACTGCATCATATGTTGAGAAGCATCACCCTAATAAGGCAGTAGCAATGCATGCTACAAATATATTTAACAATTATGGTGTGTCTCAAGCTTAGGCAAAAACAAATGTCTTCATACAACTTTCTAGTAAAAACGGCTGTTTTATAAGTAATAAATTACATTATTATAAATCTGATTGATTATTTTTTTGGAATGGAATACATCATCTTATTTTACATTGATTCCTATGGATAAATTACTTTGCTTATTGAATGTTTTGCATTACAAGTAAGATTTGGAAATAAATTACACTTGTTAAGCAAGGTTTCACAAAAAAAAAAAAAAAAAAACCACTTTTGCTATTACATGCAATATGTCATGCACATACTTGATTTAAAGAAGCTCTGACGGAGCCCTGCTGGAGAGTTTGGCAAGGCCAGCCACCCTGATCGAAAAGAAAGGGGAATCTGTCAACGAACGAGAAAAGAAGCATTGATAAGAGAGTGTGGCATACACATGGTGAGAATGTGAGAATTTTTTTTTAACTGAAGGGAAGTCGAGATACTCGAGGCTTTTTTTTTTGAGTGTGTTGTAAAAACAAAAATGCTGATATTATGCTAAGAAAGTAGAAATGTTTCATGCGACTCTAAAAAAATTATTTTACTGTGTAAAAAGTGTAAATTGTTGTTTTGTTACTTCGGAATGAGTGTGCAGTTCATTTTTCAAGTCGAGAATATAGATTAAATGTGGATACGTCAAGAACTCGCAGAGTTCAGAAATGTGGAGAGAATGAGAACATCACAGTGATGGCAGTGGTACGACTTTATACTCCTGAATGAAGAAATTTGAAAATTCTATCCAAAGTGGAAGATGGAAATGTTCTACAGGTTACAGTTGAAAAAAGAAGTATCGCATGTGAAATCCGATGAAAAGTCAGCAGTATTTAAAGCATTTTGTGAAGAAAAAGAGAGTTAAAATGTACACGTGAATACAATCTACGTGTGTTAATCCGATGAAAAGTATGCAGTCTGGCAATACCACTAAAACAATCTGTCAAAAAATGTGTGGGTCTATAGTTTCAAAAACAAACAAAAAAAAAAAAAAAAAAAAAAAGAGTGCTGATTATGTCTATGTGGTGATCAACAACCAATAAGTGCTTGAAGTGTTTCTTGCTAAAATGGAACAAATTGTTCAAGAGCTGTGCATTAGTGCTTTGTTCTTCTTGCTCCTGCTTGTGATTTAAGGGAAAAATTAGTGTGGAAAAAAAAAAAAAGCTGAAAATAGGCTTACATGACCAATGTGGAATGCAGCGATGTTACCAATATTTTGCAGACAGCAAAACATATAATTTGATAAATTAGCTGCTATTAATCGTGCTCATTTGGTCTGAGTATAATTTTATAATTAGTGCTTGTTGTTTAAATTATTATGAAAATGTTACTCCTAATTTTCAATGATATTGGAATATCTGAGATACGAATGATCATTAAGTTTTAAGTGCATTAATTATTTTTATTTCATGCTATATGAATGGTCATAAATTCCTTAGTGCTTGTGAGATATTAAGGATTAAGGATTTTATTTAATGTGTAATTGATCTAAAGATATTTGGCCTAATTAAGTTGAACATAAATTTCCCATACGGCCATTTTTAACCAAATCTAGAAAATCTGATCTGGTTGTCCTTTTAGAATAATTTGGTGTTGAAGTGTTGCCCACATTTACAATTTTGGACTTGAGGGAAAAAATTCCAGCTAGTGGAAATTATGAGGAGCATATAGCAAAGGATCTGCTGAGTGGTTATTACGGCATATAGAGAGGCAAGGCAAGAAAGGGAATACAAATTAAATATAGAGGGCAGAGCATTACCACTGAGAAGCATAAAATAGACAGTCAGGATCATTACTCAAACAGGAGTCCTACACCCGAATGGGGAAAGAATGAGAAGAAAGGATCAGTATAAGAGTTAACCAGAACAATAGGGTTACTGACAGTAAAAGTTCCCAGTAGAACAGATGGCTGGGACCGTTTCTTTTCCAGTTTTAAAAGAGCCTGTGTTAACGAAAATGTTCCTAATGAACACAAGGCCAAAATTTTAATTTATCGCTTGGGAGATAAGGCGGAAAATTTGTTAACATTGATAAGCGAGGATGATTATCGAAATTATGAGGAAATCAAGAAGACAGTACTGAAAGAATTTAAACCATCACCCCAAGCATGTTAAGATAACTTCGTGAAAGCAAAAAAGGAATTTGGAAGAGATTTTGGGTCAGTTCTCTACAAGAGTAACTGTGATGTGGGAAAATTATGTGAAATCAAGGAGGGTGACAGACTTTGAAGGTCTTAATCAATTGGTGGTGGCAGACAAAATCTCCCAAACCCTTGATACTGAAACTGCTGTACATACACGACATATAAGGCAGGGAAACTCATGGTTCAAGCCCATGAAAGCTGGGAAGAGAGCGCAATGTATTTTTTGCTTGTT